ATCTAATTTTGATTCTTATTTTCTTAAATGTTTTTTTGTCCTTCTCTTTATTTATTTAAATTTCTAATTTAATCCCTAATTATTTCCCGCCACTTTTTTTGTACAATATTTGATTCTCATTGTTAAGATTTTTATTTGTGTGATTTTTAATTTTTATATCTTTCTTCTATAAGGTAATCTCAATTACATAACTCAAGTTGCGGGTTTTAAAAATTAGCCTAAATTTACTTTGATTTTTTTTAAAGTCTTATTTAAAAATTGATTTTTTATCGGTTTTATCAATTGACATTAAGTTTTTAAAAATTAAGTTTCATGATTTGATATGCTTTTATTTTTGTTGAGTTATCCCTATCCCATGCCCCGGTACGTGAGTTAGTCGAGTTAAATGAGTTTGGCTTGGTTTTTTAAAAGTTTATTTTTTTATTTTTTTATTTAATATTAAATTATTAGCTCTTGAGTTTTTTTTTTTTACTTTTATTTATTCAAGATTATTTTAAGTGTGGATTAGTCAAATTTACACGTGTTGGCTCATGGTTTTTTCATTATGTTTTTTATTGATTTAACTTTGGTTTTTTTAAAAAAAAAGTTTAATCTCAATCTTATAAGTTAGTAGAGTTAACTCAATTTTTTTAAATTTTTATTTTTATTTATATTATTTGATTAAATTTTATTTTATTTTTTTATTATTTTAATCTCATGTCTACAAGGACATCTTTATACAGTATAGAGCGCAACACCACTCTATTTCTATCCCGTTCCTTGCCACTAGTCCGAACTTCAAACTTAACGAGAGTCTCCCGTCTGTCCTTCTAGCAGAAGAAAAATGAAAAAAAAAAAAAATCGTTAGTGAAGAATAATTTAGTTCATTGTCATTGAGACCATCTTCACATTTTACATTTATTTGAATGGAAATAAAGATATTGAAGATTTAATAACTGCATTGGATTTGATGTTAGAGATCATTATTCATACAGCGACTTGGGTAAATTTAATGTGGTAAAATAATCATCAAATTGAGCGCAGCTATCCTCCTTTCTAAAATTTGAAAACCACCAGCAAGCAAATTCCCAGTGAGCTGAAATGGGAGGATCGAAAGATTAGTGGCATAAAGCTCCGAAAAGAACACGAGCAAATTTCTCTTTAGGAACCATCGTTGGGAATGGGAACTGCCCAAGATAATTTCTTTCCCATTAAGTATTTTGCGCTGATGACGAAATGAACCTCTTGCTTTTGCAGAATCAAACATCATAAACAAGTAGAAATGAGTAAGCAAATTATAGACAGGTTAGGGATAGTTGCACTATTAATTAGCATACCAACTTTACTCAATCGAGTAAATTTCGATTTTTTCATGTAAGCACACTGATCTCTTAAAATTTTAAAATCAAGAATTTCTTGACCAAACTCCTTAACTGCCCCTTTTTAACATTTATCAAAAAAACTAGAGTCCTTGTCCACCAACTCTTCCATCGAGTACTTAGAACTTTACTCTTTCTTTTTTTTATTTTAGTACATCAACCTTTTCAACCATGCCAATCAAGTATATATATAATGCATTTTTTATTTTATTTTTGTGGGAATCACATGGTATTCGTTTGCTTGATTAAAATAATAAATATTTTAGTTGAAATAATCTTTAGTTTTTATGTGGATAACTTACCATCAATGAAAAGAGTTTATGTCCTTAACTGTATTTAAATCAATTATTATGATTTAAAATATTTTAATTTATTAAAAACAATCTTAGTAGTCCATATTACTAAAGATGTAACAAAATAAAAGAAAAATTAAAGATGCACGCAGCTATCTCTTTGAATGGGCTCGGGGAATCTTGGGCTACCGTTATGGGCTTCTGTCTGGGCAAAATGCTTGTTGTCCTTGACTTTTGCGTTCATATAAAACTGAAGTCGTTTTCCTTGAGACATCGATGGCATGGCATGCGTCCTGCTTGAAAGAAACATATAGCCAGAGATTTTGAGTACGACTACCGAATCCATTGATTTTATCACGATATCAAATCCTCTTAGAATTATGCTTGGGAAAAGACAATAAGCTTGGGAAAAGTGAAACGCGACAATAAAGCCAGAGAAGGAGGGGAAAAGGAGAAACTGTGAAAGGAACTCCTCGCGCATAGAAAAGACAAAGATGGAGTGGATAAAAGTTACCGGCCCCACAAACAGAACATTCACAAAAAAGTTACTCATGGGAGAACAAGTTACTTGATCACTGGTTCATATATATTTTACAGACACTTGGTATCAAGAGACAAAATATACGGATCATAAGTCCAAGAGGACCAGCTAAAGTTGAAAACACACACATTTTTCGAGCAGAAAATTGCATCAAATGATCCGCGAACATCACCATCATTGACAAGATGCAGCCTAATTAGTAGAATTGTGATTGAAGCATCTAGTAGATGACCCTCAAAGTTTCCTTTCACGTCTTGTAGCTCTAATCTCTCAAGAACTAGCAACAAAATTAATCTTCAATTTCCCAACAGGCCAAAGAGTAACTCCTTGAGAAACTAACAGCAAGACGTGGCTCAGCGGTTGTGAAGAGGGTCTGAAGCATTTGGAACTTTTCTTTTGCTTGAAAAGAACATATCAAATGAGTGCCTTAAACGTTGCTCTTTCTCCGTGCTCCTTGGCGGCTGCTGGTTTTGCAAGCCATGAACATTCACCGTTGTCTCTTCTTTCCTATCTCCTGAGACGAACAATACAAGAAGAAGTATAACCATTGGCTTCTGCAACACAAAGACTCGAGGGGACTGTTGATAGTGCATTTTTCTACCTATAAATGATTTGGGCATCTTAGCTGAGAGTGAAAAAAGAGAGTTTGCTGCTTCAAATGAGGGAGAGAAATGCGAGATATGGGACCAGCTAGATAGAGAAAGGCAGTGGGATATAAAGTTAAATGGCTTTGTTTGGCAACCCGAGGAGGAGGAAAGAAGTGATTATGTAGTGTGTTATTGAGTTTACTACACCCTGCAAGCAAAGGACGCAACTCACGAAGCAACTTTTTGCTATTTGCCTATATCCTTTGTATTTCACGATATCTTTTTACCATCTGTTTTGCTTTTGTTCTCGCCTTCAGTCCCTAAAATAAGGTCACTATGGTTCCGATTTATAGCAACTTCATATAGAGCCAGAAGAATCAGCTGGCACCTTGAAAGGAGTGGAATCAGACACTTTTTTCTTCTTCATGCAAAGTTTATATAGCAATGAAAGGTAAGAATGTGCGAAGCTTTTTAAGGATATAAAGGACCTTATTTCCTACAATAATCTTTACTTATATTACAAGTTTCTGAGTGGTCAAATCAAGCGCAACTTAACCCACCAACGGTTCTTTCTTAATAACCATTTAATATATGGAATCAAATATGATTGAGTACAAGAAAAGCAAGAAAACTATTGGGTAATATAAGACCAATGATTCCCTAGTGTCACTCCGTGACTGGTGGCTTGCCATGACGAGTACTTTGACAATGAGAAGCCATTGAACTTGGAACCAATAACCTAGCTGTTCATAGCCTTATAAATGAACTGGTTGATGCATGAAAATACAGAGTGAAGAATCTGAGGAGTAATAAGAAGAAGAAGAAAGGGTTGGAAACATCATACAGTTTGCCGAGAATTCAAGTCAAGTTCCTAGATTTTAAGGTTAGAACTGGATGCCGCTATGATTACCGACAAGTGGTGGATTACAAGTGGTTAGAACTACCGAAAAATATAGCTTCTCCCCTTCAAGCTGGAATTTTGGTCCAACTGGAATTGATTAAAGCTCTCAGTGCTGGACCATTTTACTTTTGGGCTCATATACATGTCTCTTTATTGGTCTGGAACTATTGACCAAATGCGGAGGGGGCCTTCTACTCTAGTCTATGCGGAGACAAAACCCTGGTCTTAGCCTCTGTAGCCATGTTCTAGAGAATATATAGGCGATCATTAAAAGGGTGAAGAGACCGGAAGAAGGCGAAGACAGGACTACGAGTTTTTTTCCTGGACTTGCATTGCAAAGTAAAAAAAAAAAATTCACAAACTAGAAAAATAATTCCTAATATTAGACAGTAGTTGATACGCATGCAGTATATACGTAGCTAGGTGTGATGTGCAAGTAGAACTTGTCGAACCAACAAATCTCAGCTCTTCCTTTCTTTTCTCAAATAATTCTCTAGCAATTATATTATGGGTTGTGGATTTTATGATTTGGTGTGTTTATTGTTAGAATTGTTTACATTGCAACGAAGAATCCCATTTGGCTCCAGTGAATTACAAAATCTTCCTTGTTCACTCTAGTCTGGAATATTAGGGCATAAAATTTTGGTTTTACTGGTTCAGAGTAAAAATAAATCGAACCAGATAATATCAAAACTGATTAGTTTTAACTAATTTAAACCAAATCTAAATATAAATGTATATAAAAATATTTCAGTTATATATATATATATACACACACATACTAGAGGTGTTATTGAATTTATTTCATCAAATCTTTTCTAATATTAGTGATGTAATGAGAGTTTTGGTGTTTCTTAACAAAAAATTTTAAATTTTTTTCTCTGTTCATTTACAACCTTTTTAATGTCACGATTCCGAAGAATAATAAGATTAAATTTCATGTTTATAAATAATAACATATATAAATTATACTATTGTAGTAAAAAATTTCCTAGCTGTATTATTTGACTAATATTTTTTAAAAAAAAAAACGTGTCTACAAACAAAAATAGTCAAAACACTTTTCATTGTAGCAGTTGGTGTTTTGGATCCCTTTTCCTTTTCCAGATGCGAAGGAAGACAAAAACAACCCCTGATTACGCAACACAATTTTTAGGAAAAGAAACTCCAGCCCATGTTTTCTAATAAAATCTCCAGGCACCCCACTAGAGGAGGTGGGCGTGTTTAGCTAGCCAATCTACACATCTATTGCTCTCCGAAACACATGGCACTAGGCTATCTCCCGCAGTATTGAGGAAAATATGCATAGTTAGGAAGGCGATGCCAGTTCGGCAATGTCTCAACTTGCTGGTGCAAATCATAGCGGCAGTCAAAATCTTGGCAGCTGCTGTGGCACTGGCACCCAAGGCAAATGATGATTTTCCAAAGAAGGTGCCGATTTCATGGTATGCCACGACGTGTTTGGGGCAAAGGGGTGGGAAAATAGAGAACCATATAATAGTAGTCATGGTGTTTTTGTGCATTCCATATAAAAGAATCTGCCCAATTTCCGCCATAGTCACTGAACCCAGAACAAAGTTATTGCTTCGTTTGTGGATAAGGCACCGTTTCGATTAGACAACTCTCTGCTCCAACCTCCTGAGTCCTCAATCCACCCACCACCCAGGTCATGTTGTGAATGGGAGCTTCAATTGTCAGCACCTTACCGGCATATTAAAGCGAGTGTAGAATTGGGCTCTTCCTGTTTCCTCAGGAACATTATTGATTCTATGTTCGTTCTCCATGCACTTTGCCCTGTACAAGACAAATTTACGAGCCCACTAGGACGAAGGAAGGCGAAATGTTCCTCAAGTTCAAAGAAAATATACCCCTGTACGCCTCTCATCATTGCAATTAGCAAATAAAACCTGGTTAGAATCAACAAATCATCCGTTAGTTTTGCATACATGGTAATTTTCCTACAACTTTGACATGTCTGGCAAAAAATAAATTTCTATTGAAGTTCCAGGGATGAAAAAGTACAAGTAGCATGATCTTAAGTTCTACAGAAGTAGTTGTGCAGACTGCAGAACTCTGTGCTCCTAGAGCTTGGCTACTATTGGTCTCTTTGCGCATCATCTAGCTGTTCCCTTCTTCGACCACTCTGATTAATCAATGCGTCTCTTGCAATGATTCAAGTGATTTCAATAAGAACTTGAAAATTCTACTAACATATTAATCCAAGATCATAAATTACTAAGCAGTTAAAGATTGATGGTTGGCAAACTGAGGACTGCCAATTAATTATGTGCATTAAAGTGTCAAAAACGCTACCAGGACAGAATCAAACTCCGGGATCATTCAGCAAACATTGGGGAAAGTAACCAAAAATCATGGCGGGCAACCGTTATAACTTTGATCATGATATGACAGTGTTGGAATTTATGCGTGGTTGCCAAATTCGAATCATAAAGTTGCTTCAAATCAGACCGGTTCAACGCAAAAGGAGGAATATAGACAGGAAACAACATGTGAATGCTCGGCTTTAACATGGGTAATATTGACATAACTGACTATGCCCCTGCGATACCACCAAGAACAAGCCGTGGGAGCACGGGCAGTATTAGGGAAAACAAACATTAGAAAGGCAGGGCATGAAAATTAAAATCTTCACATATCCATTGCTACTTCCTTGTTAACCTCCTTTCAAATCAATAGACGGTTAAGATATTTTTCAGAACACTGAACTAACAGGAGTTACAGGACCATCAGTCAACCAGAATGATAAAACATTTAGCCATGGTTACGCCAGAGATAGTGAAGAAGTTAATTCCAATGAACGGTTGAACTTGGGTCTTGGCAGGAACAGCTGCATGATGGATATTGAGCAAGGTTCACAATCAAAATTCACTGCCAGCAAAGTTTTCTCGTGCAACTTCTGCAGGAGAAAGTTCTATAGCTCACAAGCACTTGGTGGGCACCAGAGTGCCCACAAGAGGGAGAGAGGAGCAATCGAAAGGTACCGGTGGGAGAGGCATATGGCAATGATCGGTGTGCTTGCTGGTAAAACAATATTCCAGTCACTTGGCGGTCAGCCCCGTTCACTTGTCCACGAAACAAGTAGGGAATGGGGTCCTTGGATAGCAAGATTCAACAACGATGGCAAGGGATTTGGGGTGACCCAGAAAGCAATTGTGCCCGTGGAAGCAACGAGAGGAGAATGGCCAGGTAGTTTTCACATGGTATAAGAACACATACAACCATCAGAGCTGCTTAACTTTGACCTATCCCTACGGCTTTAACACTACAAATTATTTTCCACAATTCAATGAAAATCCTTATGTTAAAAGACTTTCCTATTTAACAAATTTTTATTAAATCACCAGTAACTGGCAGCCACAGTGCGAGTATGAAAAGTCTAAATCCTTTAAGTAGATGTTTTGCTGGAATAACAAAAATGAATCGCAACAGCCACCTCCACCTGGTTTATATCGAAAAAACCATTGAGTCTGAGATTTAGGCTTTGGTAATAATGGTTAAGTACTTCTCTGCTCAGCAGTAATCAGAGTATGCCATTAGGGCGTTGCGCATTCATTTTTGCACCATTAATGTTTTGTTCTCTTAAAAACAATTTTAGTATAACTCTGACTTTCATGAGACAAAGGTGAGGCTTCATATTTACCAATTTTGAAGCATATGGGATATAAACCGTTCTGATACTCCAGCATAAGAGAAAATTCACGTTCTCATAATGGCCATTTAGCATCTAATATCAGAACCAAAAACAAAAATTTTAACATTTACAAGACCTCCGTAGGAGATTCAAATATTCTACCAGTGAGAAGAGTTAGCAATAGCACAGTTACCCAACTGCTGGTGTTAAAAATGCCATTCATACTCCAGGTAAAAGTCCCCAAGCATCAGAACCACAGTTCATTCCACATGGCCAACAATTCACTTCCAGTAGTATCCCAATATCAATCAAGATTTCATAGCAAATCCAAAATGGCATGGTTTGTGTTACGAATCCACACTTCTAGGGCTTCCTGAGCGGGTAGCAATTTCCATCACTTGTCATAACCAGAAACATATAATGAACAGGCCAACTGTTGCATTTAAACCTCTTCGAAATATAAAGCTGGTAACTCTGGGGGGGAAGGCATGTTTGCCACACACTTGAACTGTCCCAGAAGAAAAATTCAATGTAAACAAAATGCCTTTTTACAGTGCGAGAATTCAACTCAAAATCCTCAGTAGTTCTGACAGAAATTAATCATACCTTATGCTGCTTGTATTTTTCTCCTACAGCTGGCAATCCACCTCCTCTTCTCCTCAAATACAAGTCATGTATGATGAGAACACATTCCCTTAGATCAGCTGCCTTGTATCCAGTGTATTGTTGCAAGGTTGAACTCTGTATGAACAAAAATTAGAAACTGCAATCCAAAAATGACTGCCAATACAAATTAATAGCCCTGGAATTACTTACCCAAGGATTTGTCTTGGGTCGCATCAGAAATCTCGTAAGAAATATAACAGAAGCAGCCACCAAAGAAGGTAAAAATTTCACACAATTGTAATCCAACAAGCTCAACTCAGCAAGGTAGAATCCGAGGAACTCAAGCTGCAAATTTGAAGTCTGCAGAAGGCACAAAGATTACACCAGTCAACAACAATAAGAAATACCTCACATTACTGAGCATACAAACTATTAACCTTCAATAAAGAAGAATGAGGTCACACTTACTTTGTAATCCTCTAGAGCAACCCTAGTGAATCTCCTGCAAGACCAGCATGACAAACAATACCAAAAATCAGCCCTCCAAACAATGAACCTTCCATGGTATGTAAATCACCAATTGCAGGTAGACAAAAAGAGCTACATCAAAACATTTTTAAATCTTACCTTAGAAATGTCTTTATCGTAGGATTCCCCATTTCAAATTTCAAAGATTTAAGTATATGAGCTTCCATTTTAACCACCTTTACAATCACATAAACCGCCATTAATTAAAATGATAAACAGAAAACCAGAGCATGAACACTGAAGATCTAAACCCATAAAACAAACAAACAAAATAAGCATATTCAGTTACCTCTTCCTTGGTGTATGTATTATCTGTAATGTAGCAAAAATCTTCCACATGTGGAGGGTTGATTTCTTCATACTTTCTACTTGCCAGAACAAAATGAAACAAAAAAAATACATAAATTAATTAAACAGAACTCAAACCAGACTTAAAAATATGGACAGAAGTCAAGGGATCCCGTGTCTTACGAGGCAATGAGCATAGAAGAAACACCAAGAAGCTGAAGCCTCTGCCTGCTGAGAACGTTGAAAGACAAGAATCTGTCAACGTAAGAAACAGTAAGATACAAGGTGTCAGAGACAAGCTTGTATTCCTCTGCGACCTCCACCAACCAATCCACCAAAATCCCTCTCATATTAGGACTCACATCTTTTTGAACCTTCTCAATGTAATCAGGCAGTGGCCTTCTTTTTGGATCCACCTGAAAAATAAACCCCAATTAACACAAACCCTAATTACATTTCCACTACTCAGACCACATAAAACCAATCCTTACCTCCATTTTATGAAGATACTCATAAATATCAGAAGCATATGGTGCACACATTTGGGGATCTTCAGGTTTCCCGTCAACATCCTCTTTGAGAACACCCTCCTTCTTCGTTGAAGCCCCCTTCCTTGCCTTTGGCTTTGCTTTTGCTTTCTGCTTCTGGGGCTCATTCGATGAAACAATGGCGTTTGATAAGTTGGGCAGCTCTCCCAGCACAACCCTCTTCTTATTCAAGGGTTGGTCCTCCGTGGAAGCCAGCGCAGCCGCCCTCTTTTTGGCAGCGCGAGTAACGCGGGTGCAGTTCTCTTGCTCTGGCATTGAACTCATTTTACACTTCTTCGCTCACTGAGTCAAGAGTCTCCTTTTAGATTAGGAGTGAGCGAGAGAGAGATAGATAGAGAGCGAGGGCTTGTGATTGTGAGGAGGGAGAGGTTTTGTAATGGTGGAGAGAGGGAACGTAAGAGGAAGCGCCATGTTTTTTGTTTTTGAAAAGAGGGGACTTGGCGCTTGTTACGTTTTTGCGTGTTTTTATTTTTGAGGTTTTGGAGATTTTACGTTTTGCGGTTTGGGGGGTTGGCTTTGAATTTTAAAACCATACCCAAGGAGTGGAGGCATGCTGTAGGCGGGTCTCATTTTTTATGTCAAGGGAGGGAGGCGGGTCTTGTTTTGGCGAGATTTTTCAGAAATGTTTGGGGCCTTCTCTGGCATCCTCGTCCTCCATTTCCTCACAGCTGTTTGATATTTATTGCCTTCCACCTTCCAAACTCCAATCCCTCTTCTTTATTTTTGTATTTTTTTAAAAAAAAAAATTATGTTGATTTTTTATGTAAAAAAAAAAAAAAATTATGTTGATTTTTTATGTTTTAAAATTATTTTGATGTGATATATTAAAAATAATTTATAAAATAAAAAAATTATATTTTTTAAAATTAATAATATTTTTAAAAATAACTCAAACCAAACTCTCAGACGTCATATCTACCATTACTTTTAAGGCAAGATGACAGTAATGCCTTCAAGTTTACCCCCCTTGAGAAAAGAGTCCTCGTATATTAAATACAAACACCCCCGGGAGACCACTCGGATTTCATCTATTTCAGGGAACTAGTAAGGGTTTATTTGTTACTGTGTTGCAAATGGTGTTTGAAAAATTAAAAAAACAAAATAATTTTTTTAATAATATTTTTAAATTATTTTATTGTATTGATATTAAAAATATTTTTTAAAAAATAAAGATATATTATTTTCATATATATATATATAATAGCAATTATTTTTATTACATTTACACGGGTTGCCATTTCTAATACGGGACTTAAGTCTTGTATTGGATTAGCCCCCAAATCAAATTTTAAAAGCATGATAATAGTTATTTTTCACATGACCTGGATCTTATCTAGATTTAACCCAAATTATATTTTAAAATTATAATAATAATTACTTTTATTTTTTTATAAAACCAAGTCAACGATCAATCTCGATCGTGACATGGCCTTGATCTAGGTCAACTTTTAAGTTGGGGTTTTAAACTATAATAACAATCACTCTTACTTTTATGTTGACTTGAATATTGACCAATAACTTAGATTTTGCCACCGATCGACTTTCGAATTAGATTTTAATACTATGATAATAATTATATATATATTAAATAATTTTGAAATTAAATTTTTTTTACAATAATATTTTAAGAGTAAAAAGTATTATATCTAGAGACATCCCTTCCATCCCTCCAGTTTTGAGAGCACAAAACTCACTCCAAAATGATTACAAAAATATATTTATTTTTATGTTTTTATCTCTATTTTTGAATTAAACATGTTTTTATTTTCATTTTTTTAATATTTTTTGTCACATAATATTAACCGATTGCTATCTCAAAAGTATTGTAGAAGATGATGCATAAATGATAATAAATGCCATGTTCGCATGATGCCGCAAGCTTGTGGCATGTTTGTGTATTTGTTGTGGATGTATGAGAAAAACAAAGACAAATATATAGAAAAAATCTGTTACAATGTGCAATATTTTCAAAGAAAAAAATAAAAAGTTAAATTTTTAACCAGATTAATATTTAAAAAATAAAATGAACTAAGAAAAATCTAGAAAAAATTATACAAAAAAATAAAATAAAAATCATGTTGGAAAATGCTGTAGCAATCTATAATATTTCATAAAAAAATTCACAGTTGTAATTCTCAACCAGCTTAATATTAAAAATAATAAAATCAATAAAGATATTTTTGAAAAAAAATCATATAGGGAACACTGTAGTAATTCACGGTGTTTTTAAAAAAACTACAAAGCTAAATTCTCAAACAGCTTAATATAAAAAAAAAAAAATAAAAAAACATGTGAGGAAATACTGTAGCAATCCACATTGTTTTTTATTAAAAAAACTACGAAGTTAGATTTTCAACCAACTCCATGTTAAAAAAAATAAAATCAATAAAAATAATTCTAAAAAAAATAAAAAAAATTGAAAAAAATAAGACAATTTTGTAAAAAAAAAAACACACGAGAAAAGTTAAAGCTGAATTCTCAACCAACTTAATATTTAAAAAAAACTCGACAAAGATAATTTTTAAAAAAAATATATGGAAAAACATCGCAGCAAAATAAAAATTATGCGGATAAATACTATAATAATCCACAGTATTTTAAATAA